TTTTTTTGGTTTTTCTCCGGTACCGGGAACCGAACTCACGACCTTGCGCTTGCCAGGCAGGCGCTTTTGCCGCTGAGCTAAATCCCCAGCCCCGAGAGTTCTTTCTTGTCTTTTGGATTATATTTGCAATCATTCTGCATATGCAGAAATACAGAAGTAAACTTGCTGGGTCACACAGCATACACATTTTTTTTTTTTAAAGTTGTGCTGGAGATTGAACCCATGCTAAACAAGTAGACTACCCCTGAGCTACATCTCTAGTCCTGTTTTCAATTTTAATTTTGAGACATGGTTCCACTAAGTTACCCAGGCTGGCCTCAAACTTGCAACCCTCCTGCCTTAGTGTCCAGAATAGCTAGGACTTCAGGCATGTGCCACTGTGCCTAGCTTGCTTTCTGAATGTTAGATAATAATAAAAATTCTCCAAAGTGGATTATATCAGTTTTTACTTCATTTTACAACATGTGAGAGTATTACATGAAGTCTCACTAAGTTGCTGATTTGCCAGGCTGGGGTTGAACTTCTGAGGTCAATTGATTCTGTTCCCTAACTATAGCCTGCCTTACTGCATCTGGCAACACATTAACTTGCTTCTTAAAAAGTATCATTTCATCTATTTTCAGTGATGAATTTAACTTAGGCCTGGACCTCTGATACTCAGTTGTAAAATGCCTGTTGATGTTTTGTCTTTTTTTTCTCTCAGTACTGAGCATAGTATTTGGAGATAGTTTACCACTGAGCTAGTTACCCCCAGCTCTTTTTTTCTTGGAGGATTGTTGAAAAGGAGAAAGAAGGCAAGATATCAAAACAAACACTTGGCAAAATATCTGACATATGGACTTCGGAAGTTAATAACTACTATTATTGTTAAAATTACTTTGAAATGAAAATGCTTTCTTTTACTTCTAGACTCCCATGGTGACCCTCTCTGGCCACACAGAAGCAATTTCCTCAGTACTGTGGTCAGATGCTGAAGAAATCTGCAGTGCATCTTGGGACCACACAATTAGAGTGTGGGATGTTGAGTCTGGTAGTCTTAAGTCAACTTTGGTAAGACTTAATTTCAGTTGTCCTCTTAACGTTGGTCTTTTAAGTGATAAACTTGTAAAAATGGCTTTTGTGATCCCTTTGTGGTTAAATGTTATTTCTTTTTCTTTTTCAGACAGGTAATAAAGTGTTTAATTGTATTTCGTATTCTCCACTCTGTAAACGTTTAGCGTCTGGCAGCACAGATAGGCATATCAGACTATGGGATCCTCGAACTAAAGGTGAGTTGTATAATCCACTGAGGGATGTAAAATTTTTTTCTACAATACTTTTTAGGTTTGTTCTGCTTACTTTTCTAAAATTTAGAACTTATCTCTTTTGCTTTGTTCAGATGGTTCTTTGGTGTCGCTGTCTCTAACCTCACATACAGGCTGGGTTACGTCAGTAAAATGGTCTCCAACACATGAACAACAGCTGATTTCAGGCTCTTTGGATAACATTGTGAAGCTGTGGGATACAAGAAGGTAAATTCTTAAAAAAAAAAAAAGAAGGTAAATTCTAATTATACTCTACAAAACGAAGACATCAACCAGTGTTGTGTATCAAGAATACTGAAGTGATTATTCAAACTCATATGGGTAAAAAACATTTGATTATACTTGATAAGTATGGCAGTTTAATAAAGTGGCAGGATCAAAGGATACTACTGTTTGTAGCATCCCCAAAAAAACCTAATTCCATGTTACATTATCTTTTACTGAAAAAACAAAATTTAAAAGCCTATACTTAGCCAGGCATGGGAGCAAACACCTATAATCTCAGCACTCTGGAAGCTGAGGCAGGAGGACCATTGTGAGTTCGAGACCACCCTGGGCTACAAAGTGAGCTCAAGGCCAGCCTGAACTGCATAATGAGACCTTATCTCAAAAAGACAAAAAATAAATAAATAAAATAAAATAAATTTCCTAAAAGCCTACACTTTATAAAACCCATCTTTCTGACTTTCTTGTAAGACAGGAAAAAAAAGACTTTAGAAAAATTACCCTGACCTTCATATAAATTATACATTAATAGGAGATTAAATTTTTAAAATATTTTTAAAGATCTTCAAGGAGCTTTTCTTACAAGCTAGTGCTGTGATATGTATATATAGAATGTCCAAATAAAATGTGTACTCAATTATATTCCATTACAAAAAGATTATTAACACACTTGTTTGTGTATTGCTGTTGACGACCATAAATATGACTTCTAACAGCCTTACACTACCTTATGATACATAATATTAATATTTAGAAGGTGTATACATTTTAATTGACATTTTATGTAGCAATATATAATTCCTGATAATAGTATTAAGTATTATGAAGGAAGTAACACAACATAAATGGACGCTTCTTTTTTTTTTTTTGTCTTTTTGAGATGGGGTTTTGCTGTGCAGTCCAGGCTGGCCTTCAGTTCACTTTGTAGCCCAGGCTGGTCTTGAACTCACAACTATCCTCCTGCCTCAGCCTCCTGAGTGCTGGGATTACAGGCATGTGCCACCACACCCGGCTTAAAGGGACACTTTAAGACACTTGGGAAGGCCTATCTTTTGTTTTGTTTTGTTTTTTTTCCAGTACCAGGAATTGAACTCACGACCTTGTGCTTGCCAGGCAGGCGCTGTGCTGCTGAGCTAAATCCCCAGCTCCCTTTTTGGGGGGGGCGGGGCGGAGGGAAGCTCTATCTTTGAAAATATTTTAGGAGTGAATTATGTAATGTAAAGGTGCAAGCCACACACATACTATGACAGAGGGAACAATAGATAAAGTGGGAATAATTTGGCATATTGCCAAAATAGCAAGATGACCACTATTGTTATGAGTAAGCAAGGGAGAACATGCCAGGACATGAGGCAGGTAGTGGTCAATGCCTGATGATTGTGTTCATGAGTTTGGGTTTTATTCTAAGCATGATGGAAAGGCTTTCCAGGGTTTTGAACAGGGAACAAGAGCAGAAGCAGAAAGGCTGTTGGAATTCCAGACACAGATATGGTGGCATTAGAGATGAGTAGCAGGTTTTATGCTTAGGGATTAAGTATGGAGACAAGAATGAAGGGTTATGTCCACATTTTATGGCTGAGCATTTGGGTAATTGATAATGCAACTTACTGTGATGGAAAAGAGTAGGTTAACAGGTTTGTAAAATTAAATCAAGAGCTTTGATTTGATCTGTAATTTAAATTTCTATTGCCCATCTAGCTGGTTTTTGTTTGTTCGGTTTTGTTTTTTTTTTCTTGAGACAGGGTTTCACTATGTAGTTCAGGCTGGCCTTGCATTCACCATGTAGCCCAGAGTGACCTTGAACTTGTGGCAATCCTCCTGACTCAGCCTCCCAAGAACTAGGGTTACAGGAATGCATTGCCATACCCTGCCTGCATTTAGCTGTAAAGCAGTTGGATGTACATATCAAGTTTGGACTGAGAATATAACTTCAGGAGTTGTCATATATATGGCTTTATGCGTAAAAGAAGGGAGGGAAGTATGAAAATGGGCCTAATTATGAGTCATTATTTTTCCTGTATATATTTGTTATAATGTTTGCAATCTATGAATGACATAGGAAGAAACAAATGAAGTGGGCAGTCATCAGAATGTTCAAATGAAATGGTGGTTGGGGCAAGGATGATAACCTGTACGGTTTTCAGAAGAGTATAAGTGATTATTCATATTTTAATACTGTGAATGCATGTAATACGTTGATATTTTAATCTTTTAGTTGTAAAGCTCCTCTCTACGATCTGGCTGCTCATGAAGACAAAGTTCTAAGTGTAGACTGGACAGACACGGGGGTAAGAATCTCTTAGTTATTTGGTGAAAAGTCAAATGTATTATTAGAATAAATCTAGTGTTTGTGTTTATAAAGGCATTAGTTTCTTTTTTTTTTTGGTCTTTTTTGAGACAGGGTCTCACTATGCAGTTCAGGCTGCCTTGAGCTCATTGTATAGCCCAGGCTGGCCTCGAACTTGCAGCAATCCTCCTGCCTCAGCCTCCCATGTGCTGGGATTACAAATGTGATCCACCACTCCTGGCAAAGGCATTAGTTTCAAGAAAATCTAATTTTTATAATTCTACAGTAAAGCTTCCCCTTTTACATAGAAGAAACAAATCTATTCTCTAATAGTAGGAGTACTAAGCAGTCTTTTCTTGAGAATGTTTTAACCATTTTAAGTCCATAAACTACCTCAGATTAATCAGATCAAAGTAATTCCCAGTTAGAACATCTTTTACAATAAATATGGATTATAAAATGTGTTTAAGCTGGGCATACTGGCATATACCTGTAATCCCAGCACTCTGTGGGAGACTGAGGCAGGAAGATCACAAGTTTGAGCCCAGCCCGGGCATCTTAGTAAAAACCTTTCTCAAACAGGAAAAGCTGGGGATTTAGCTCAGTGCAAGAGCCTTGGGTTTTAATCCCCAGTAGTGGAAAAACAAAAAAAGGTGTTTAAATTGGGGTGTTGTGGTACATTTCTGTAATCTTAGCACTTAGGAACCTAGGCAGAAGGATCTTGAGTTTGAGCCAGCATGGGCTACATAATTTTGAGGCCAGCCTAAATTAAATATCAATACCCTGTCAGAAAACAAACAAACAAACAAAAATCAGTTTTAGGAATTACAATTTAGACCTGGGCAAGGTCATATACACTTGTAGTCCCAGCATTCAGGAGGCGGAGGCAGGAGGATTGCACCGTTAGCTCAAGGCCACAGCAGCCTGAACTACACAGCAAAACTGTCTCAAAAAAAATTACAATTTAACTTTTAAAAATGTATATATATAAACTCTTATTGCCTAAGAACTCACTTGAATAATTTGCAGTATACATTGTCTACAGATAACACACTGTCCTTTAAAAACTTGATTTTCTTGGGTAAAACTGTATCACTTTCCAACTATTTTATTACATATCTTAGCAAATGCTTCATAGAAAGCACAATAGCATGCTGTGCCTCAACCAAATTTGAATGGTCACTTTTACTTATATTTTAGTGTACTGTATCATAATACAAATTGAGTGTCCCTTATCTGAAATGCTTGGGAGCAGAAGCATTTTGGATTTTTCTCAGATTTTTGAATGTTTGCACATACATGAAATATCTTGGAGATGAGACGTAAGTTTAGACATGAAATTACTTTTTTAAAATGTTTTTATTAGTATATATTTGCAATACAAATTATATCCATCTTGGGGAATTGGTACACATGCATACTGAATCTTTTCTTTTCATATACACCCTGTATGCATAATCTGAAGGAAATTTTATACAATATTTTTAGTGTGCCTACATTGTAACAGTAACCCATCTCATGAGGTCTTATGTATCATTTTCCACTTATGGCATCATTTGGCCCTCAGAAGGGTTTGGATTTTGGAGCATTTTCATTTGTGGGTTTTGCTTATTTTGTTTTAGTGCTGGTGATTGAATCCAGGGACCTCAAGTGCTAAGCATGTGCTCTACCACTAAACTACATCCTTAGCTCAGACTGCAGCTTTTTGGGACAGGGACATTCTACCTGATGAAGTAAAAGTTAGTGGAATTTTTTTTTTTTTTTTTTTTTTTTTTTTTGAAACAGGGTCTTGCTATGCAGTTCAGGCTGCCCTTGAGCTCACTTTGTAGCCTAGGCTGGTCTCAAACTTGCAACAATCATCCTGCCTCAGCCTCCTGAATGCTGAAATTACAGGCATGCACCATCTGGCCTTGTTCCTTTAATATTAACTTTCGGTGCTAGTTACCTGCTCACCTATAATTCCTTTTGTGGGTTTTTTGTTTTTTTTTTTTTGTCTTTTTGGGACAGGGTCTCGCTATGCAGTTCAGGCCAGCCTTGAGCTCACTTTGTAGCCCAGGCTGGTCTCGAACTCGGAACAATCCTCCTGCCTCAGCCTCCCAAGTGCTGGGATTACAGGTGTGCGCCACCATGCCCGGCTTCTATAATTCCTTTTGTAATCATCAGTATTGAATTAGGTTTGGCTATTATATGAAATAATTATACTTATGTTTTTCTGTATTTTTCTGTTTTTCACAGCTACTTCTGAGTGGAGGAGCAGACAATAAATTGTACTCCTACAGATATTCACCTACCACTTCCCATGTGGGGGCTTAAAAATGAATGGTAATTTAATTATGGAGACTCCATAAATAAAATTGGTACAGAAGCCTCAGATTATTTATACCAATGCAGAAAGTAGCCTTTTAAAGCTTACATATTTTCACCCTTTATAATGGCTACCATCCCTATTTTTGTCTTTTTGTGTTTATAAAACATGGTATGTGATCTGCATTCTCTATCCTATACAAATTCTTGAAATTAAACTGTTTTACAATTTCTCTTTAATGGTATTAGTTTGAATTAAGATTTGCTTTTGAAATGCTATAAAAGAATGTATTAGAAATACAGTAGTCAGTTTTCCAGATTTTTCTGTTGGAAAAATTTGGGTTTCCATTAGCTGTTTTTTTTTTTTAAAGCATCTAGAAAAGACTAATAAGAACTGTTAGAGGAAAAAAATTAGAAGTCAAAATTCCTTTTGGTAAACTAAATACTTAATGATAAGACTTTGTAGGCATTCAGAACATTAAAAAATGTTGCCAGTTTAGTAAGAAGTCATTGAAAGCGGGGCAAGGTGGTGCACACCTATAATCCCAGCTACTCAGGTGGCTGAGGCAGGAGTTCAAGGGTAGCTTGAACACTTACTGAGAACCTGTCTCAAAATTTTCAAAAAGCATGTTTGAGCCCCTGAGTTCAACCTTCAGAACCACCAAAAAAAAAAAATTTTATTTAGCTATTTAAATGAAATACTTCATATTAAAGATAGGTCAGATCTTTTAGAAAAATGTTTAGAAATTTCATGATAACTAGGAATCTCCTCTCTCACTAACCTATCCTCATATGTATCTAAGAATAAATTCTTCAGATAAAGCCTGTCAGTATTAAACAGCCCACAAATATCTTAACTTTAGCATTTGTATTTATGCATATGTTGTAAACAAAATATTTAAAGTAAATATCTTTTAAAATGTGACTTCCATCTTTAATGGATCCATATTCCTCAAGCAGAGCTCTTACATCTTTATATGGGAAATAACTCTGGTTTTGTCGTAGGACTATAATACATTGTACTATATCTCAAATGATGCGCCTACCACAGAAGCCTAGGAAACATCTATGTCTGATTGCAGTTGACAACTGAATTAACAGTGGGATTGAACCAGTTAGTATTTTAGTTCTCTGGTATGTAGAAAAGCCCAGAGGCAGTTCATTCCTGGAATAGGGGACTTTTTTTTTCTACCTTTTTTTTTGTCTTTCTGAGATAGGGTTTCACTATGCAGTTCAGGCTGGCCTTGAACTCACATTGTACCCCAGGCTGGCCTCAAACTTGCAGCAATCCTCCTGCCTCAGCCTCTTGAGTGCTGGTATTACAGGAGTGCACCACCACACCTGGCTTTTTTCTACTTTTTTAAGGACCCAGGCTTCCTTCTACCTTACCCTTCAGTGGTCCTCATTTTCTTTTTTTTTTTGTTCTTTTTGGGGTTTTCTTTGATACCAGGAATCAAACTCATGACCTCACACTTGCCAGGCAGGCGCTTGGGCCCTGGCCCAGTGGTCCTCATTTTCACATAATCAAGAGCTCCAGTTATCAAATCATTTCTTAAAATGTATTTTAATGCCAAAAAATGAATAAAAGTAGCTAAAATTCACACAGTCCTTGTTTTTCTCATTTTGTGCTGACTAGTATAAATTTCATCACATCGCTAGTGTCTGTACTATCTTTGTCAGAGTACAAAGATGAATTCTTTGTACTCCTGTTTTGGATGGTTTCATAAGGGACGGTTCTTTAAAATTTCTTAACTCACTCAACCTGGTCTGATTAAATGTGATATGTGTACATTAGGTGGTTAAAGTAAAAATAGAGTCGAATGGCATGGAATGGAGTGGAAGGAAACAGTGGAACAGAGTAGAACGGAACGGAATGGAATGGAATGGAAAGGAAAGTGTTACCTATAACCGATGCCTCATCTTTCTCAGTCCTAGTTGCCAGCAAGATAGCAAGACAGCTCAGGCACTCTCCCTTGGGATAGATACATTAGTATCCAGGTCTCTTAGAGAAGGATCGTCTCTGATACATCTCTGCCAGACTTTTCTTCAGTAACTCAAGTGCTTAGATCTTATTTCCTGAACAGGAAGAATATGAGATGCCTACAGAACCCTGGAGGCTCCAGTCCTCATGGAAATATATTGCTTCTTTTCCTCAAAAATCAGGAGTCTGCCTCTCAGTAGCCCCTTTTCTTCCAGCAGAGGCTGAGGTTACATCAGAGGCAGGGGCTTTACACTCAGCTGCTCCTAAGATTCACTTAGAGAAATGAGCGGAGCTGTTTTCACAGTACTGGAAGAAGCTGACCTAAGGGGTTATCTGTGCTGTCTTGCCATAGAAATAGAGTTCATAGATATGTTGATACCTGGTCTCTTAATGCATATAGCAAAGAAATGTCATTTCTTACTGTTTAACAACAAACTTCCTAAATTTAAACATAGGCTCAGGGGCTGAGGGTAGTTCAAAAGCAGCTGCTTGGGATATTGTAACCCCCCTGATTTGATCCTCACCACCAAAATGTAAATCGATAAAATGGGCTGAGTATACCTAATTGAATAAATCAAACAAGGAAAAAAGTTGCAGTGTTATATACCAGAGTCTCCTGGGGTATAAGACAGGGAAGAACCACAAAAATATATATGTGAACACTATCTTCAAAAAGATGACACAATTTATAATAGCTAAGTGTTGGAAGCAGCCTAAGTGTCCATCAACAGATAAATGGATAAAGAAAATGTGGTGTTTACATACAACAGAGTACTACACGGCCATAAAGAAGGATAAATGAGTTGTTTGTAGGGAAATAGATGCACATTGAGACCACAAGGTTAAGTAAATCAGACAGAAAGCTTAAATATCACATGGTTTCTCTTATAGGAGAACCCCAATGTGTAAAGTGCAAAATAAGAGATAATAGGAAAAAATATGATACATGATATATACTCATTAAAATTTTAGTTACAGTAGTATCCTGAATGCAAAGAGAGATGTAGCATAGAAAAGGCAGCAGTTAGCCCTGCAGGAAGCTGGCTGTGAAGGACATCTTAGAAAATTAACATTGGAGCAAGATTGGGCAGATAGTTGGGGGGCATAGTTATTTCTAGCAGAGGGAGAGGCATAGAAGCATCCAAAATAATTACTTAAATACTATGAGGAAGACATGGATACAATGTTTATACACTGAGAAATTTTATTTTCCTTGGAAAGTCACCTTTAAAATCTTTTCCTAAGACAGGATGATCCTTTTACATTGGAAAACAGGAAAACAAAACCTTGCTATGATTACTCAAAGATTATTGAGGTAAAAACTTTAGTTGCTTAAAAATTTTTATTCTACATGGAATATAGAAAAACATTTCCTGAGTAAATGAGCGATATTTGCTATGTATATTTTTCCTTTGAATTTAGGATTCCATTTTGTAGCTGAGTATGTCCTGGCATTATTGGAGAAAGGAGAGATTTAATTGATTAAAGTGTACCTAATTGCATAACTGAACAAACAGCCCTACAGGATAAGTACAATTTGTGCATTTCGTAACAACATGCAAATCTGTTTCTTTTGATGGACATTAGTTTTAAAAAATCACACTTGCTTATATATAGGAAAAATAGTATTAATAGACATTACCATGACAGATTCTTTTCTGGGAGGGGGTTACTGAGGGCCTTAATATACTGAGCTATAACCACAGGCCCCCATTCCCTCTTTGACACAGGGTCTCACTAAGTCTGCTAAGTTGCCCATGTTGAGCGCCAACTTGATCCTCCTACATTAGCCTGTCAAGAGTGCTGGGATTATAAGTGCACTATTGTGTCCAGCTATAACTGTGATTTTGTTTTTTATTTTTTGAGACAGGGTCTTTCTGTGTAGTTCATGCTGTACTTAACACGCATTATGTAGCCCAGGCTGGTCTCAAACTCACTGCAATCCTCTTGCTTCAGCTTCCCGAGTGCTGGGATTACAGGCTTGTACCACCATACCCAGCTTAACTCTGATTTTAAAGGAGAAAAGATGACATTTTATGACAATGTGCAAGGGTTATCCAATTAATATCTTTTTAGAAATATTAATAGCCACTAATTAGAATCAGGTTTCATTAGGCAGACAAAATCCATTTTGCTAGTTAAACTACCAGATATAAAAACAGCACGATGCCTATAATTGCAGCACTGGGAAGCAGAGGCAGGAGGATTGCTGGAAGGTTGAGGCTAGGGTCCAAAGCAAGACCCTGTCTCAAAAAAGCAAAAAACAAAGAAAACAACTTTTAGTCACTTTTAATACTGATTTTATTTATTTTATTTCATTTTATTTTACTATTTATTTTTGGTACCAGAATTGAACTCAGGACCTCATGTTTGCCAGGCAGGCGCTGTACTGCTGAGCTAAATCCCTGGCCTGAATACTGACATTGTTATAGACTTCAAATATCAAATATAATAATAATATGTTGTTATATGCACCAAATATATCTTTAATGCAACAGTAGTAAAGTTAGTTTTAGTTGGTTGATTCTGTGGCTTTATAGAATTAGGCTATCTGTGTTCTCAATTCCATTGATTTTATAGATTTAAAGAAGTAAATTTTATTTTAAAGAGAATAAAAATAATGAGAATAAAATACATTTAAAACAATACAGAATTTGAAAACAAGATTATAGGAAATCAACAGTTGTTCAGATTACCAGATATAAGCATATAAACGTGGTCAAAAAGAATAAAGTGGTCAAAAACATTAAGCATTAATTATTCCTTATAATAAACCAATAGAAATCAGTAGTACAATTATCTTAGCTATCATGTGTGTATATATAATTTTTTTCCCTTTTCTCCTTTCCCTAGCTCTTTTTTAAATTTTATTTATTGACTGGTTGATTTGTACTGGGAATTGAACTCAGGATCTTGCACTTGCCAGGCAGGCACTTACGCCACTGAGCTATATTCCTGGCCCTCCCTGGCAGTTTCTTTCCCTTTCACAATATCTATTGTGCCTTTCAGATTTTATTTACTCTCAGTTTCTTACACTAGGGAAACTGTAGCAGTCAGTGTTTACTAGAGAAACAGATAGAACACAAGATATACAAATTACAAGAAAGCCAGGCGTGGTCGCGCTCACCTGTAGTCCCAACACTCAGGAAGCTGAGGCAGGATGATTGGTGTGAGTTAGAGACCAGCCTGGGCTACAAAGTGAGCTCAAGGCCAGCCTGAACTGTATAGCCAGACCCTATCTCAAAAAGACCAA